GGCTAACACGGCGAAACCCCGTCTCTACTAAAAAATACAAAAAACTAGCCAGGCGAGGTGGCGGGCGCCTGTAGTCCCAGCTACTCAGGAGGCCGGGGCAGGAGAATGGCGTGAACCCGGGAGGCGGAGCTTGCAGTGAGCTGAGATCTGGCCACTGCACTTCAGCCTGGGCAACAGAGCGAGACTCTGTCTCAAAAAAAAAAAGAAAAACAGAAGTCTTTATCTGTGTTTGAAGTTTAAATCTAGTACGTGAAATTAAAAAAAATTAGGCTTAACAGCAGAGTGAATACTACAAAAGAACGGTGAACTCGAAGACATATCAATAGAAATTATCTAAAAGGAAGGTCAGAGAGATGGAAAAAAAAATGGATAGAGCATTTCTGCTATCTATGCAACAATATCAGGCAGTCCGACATTTGTGTAATCAGAATCCTGGAAGGGTAAGAGACAGAATGGGTAGGATAAATTCACAAAAGAAGTGCAAAACTTATGCAATGAATACTATAAAACATTGTTGAAATTAATTACAACCTAAATAAATGAAAATACATACCGTATTCATGGATCAGAAGACTCAACATTTTGTTAAGATGGAATACTTAGCTAGTAAATTGTAGAACCAGTGCTGAAACCAAAGTCTGTTCAGATTAATTTAATCATTCATATAGGAATTCATGGTGGGTAGGACAGGTGAAAGTGGCTGTGTTCATGGAGCTTCCATTAGATGGAGGGAGTCATCCTTTAATAAAACAGTATAATTTCAGACAGTGTTAAGTACTATGAAGAAATAAAGCGTGATGTGATAATAATTGGGGAAGATGGTTTAGGTTAGATGGTCAGGAAATGCCTCTCTGAAAAAGTCTCATAAATGTCTCTATTTCTTTTTACATTTTGTTTTCTTGAATTAGGACCAAATAAAGGCCACACATTGAGATTGCTTGCTATGTCTCTTAAGTCTCTTTATCTATAGGTTCCCCTTTCACGTCTCCCTTTTGAATTTTTCCTGGTAATTCAGTTGTTGAAGAAAGCTGGTCATTTGTCCTGTGGCGTTTCTCATGATCTGGTTGCTGACTGCACAGCTTCCAAGTGAGCGCCATCTGTTGTGGGAAGTCAGGGACCCCGAACAGAGGGACCTGCTGAAGCCGTGACAGAAGAACATAAATTGTGAAGATTTCATGGATATTTATTAGTTCCCCAAATTAATACTTTTATAATTTCTTACGTCTGTCTTTACTACAATCTCTGAACATAAATCGTGAAAATTTCATGGACATTTATCACTTCCCCAATCAATACTCTTGTGATCTCCTATGCCTGTCTTTAATCTCTTAATCCCGTCATCTTCATAAGCTGAGGATGTATGTTGCCCCAGGACCCTGTGATGATTGTGTTATCTGCACAAATTATTTGTAGAGCATCTGTATTTGAACAATATAAAATCTGGGCATCCAAAAGGAACAGGATGGCTGCGATTTTCAGGGAACAAGGAAGATAACCACTGACCTGAGGGGCTGGACAGAACAGAGTCATGTTTCTCTTCTTACAAAAGCAAATAGGAGAAATATCACTGAATTCTTTTTTTTTTTTTTTTTTTTTTTTTGAGATGGAGTCTTGCTCTGTCACCCAGGCTGGAGTGCAGTGGCCGGATCTCAGCTCACTGCAAGCTCCGCCTCCCGGGTTTACACCATTCTCCTGCCTCAGCCTCCCGAGTAGCTGGGACTACAGGCGCCCGCCACCTCGCCCGGCTAGTTTTTTTGTATTTTTTAGTAGAGACGGGGTTTCACCGTGTTAGCCGGGATCGTCTCTCGATCTCCTGGCCTCGTGATCCGCCCGTCTCGGCCTCCCAAAGTGCTGGGATTACAGGCTTGAGCCACCGCGCCCGGCCTGAATTCTTTTTCTCAGCAAGGAACAGCCCTGAGAAGGAGAATGCATTCTTAGGTGGAGGTCTCCAAAATGGCCACTCTAGGAGTGTCTGTCTTATACTGTTGTAGACAAGGGATGAAATAAGCCCTGGTCTCCTGTAGTGCCCCCAGGCTTATTAGGATTAGGAAATTCCTGCCTAGTAAATTTTAGACCTGTTGTCTGCTCTCAAACCCTGCCTCCTGATAAGATGTTATCAATGATAATGCATGCCCAGTGGGACATGAAACTTCATCAGCAATTCTGATTTCACCCTGGTCCTGTGATCTCGCTCTGCCGCCATTTGCCTTGTGATATTTTATTGCCTTGAAGCGTGACCCTATTCGTACACCCCTCCCCTTTTGAAATCCATAAGAAAAACTTGCTGGTTTTGCGGCTCAGGGGGCATCACGGAACCTGCTGATATGTGATGTCTCCCCCGGACACCCAGCTTTAAAATTTCTCTCTTTAGTAGTCTTTCCCTTTATTTCTCAGACCAACCGACACTTACGGAAAATAGAAAAGAACCTACATTGAAATATTGGGGGCTGATTCCCCGATAACCATCCTCGACCCTCTGTTACTTCCTCTGCAGTGGTGGTTGGGTCTAGAGACTTGAGTAGAGTCAAGTTGATTTTTTTTGGCAATATTGTTAAGTCTAGATCTTAAACACTTACTCCTTACTCCTTACACTATATTAAGGCATTATTGTTAAAATTTTCAGATATAATGGTCATGTGGTGATGGTTTGTTTTATAGATTTATACAGGAAAATTAGTGGATGAAATGATATGTCTGAGATTTGCTCCACTGTAATAAAGGATAAGAAGTACTTGGGGATAAAGACAAAATCTGACAGGCCATGAGTCGAGCATTGTTGAATCTGGCTGATGGGTGTCTGGAGGGTTCATTATACTCTTCTGTCTGCTTTTTGTACAGTTTTTAGATTGTCCATAATTTTACGTTTTAAAGCCTATTATTTATCTCAAAATGAATTCTCCCTCACCCATTTATGAGGATGCAATAACTATCAATTCATGTTGACTTCAATAAAGTATGTTAGTGATCGACTTCATTTTTATGGGAAGATATTATTTATCAAATCACTTTTTTTTTTTTTTGACGGAGTTTTGCTCTTGTTGACCAGACTGGAGTGCAGTGGCGCGATACTGCCTCACTGCAACCTCCGCCTCCCAGGGTCAAGCGATTCTCCTGCCTCAGCCTCCCAGGTAGCTGGGATTACAGGAATGCACCACCACGCCCAGCTAATTTTGTATTTTTAGTAGAGACAGGTATTCTCCATGTTGGCCACTCTAGTCTCGAACCCCCGACCTCAGGTGATCCGTCTGCCTTGGCCTCCCAAAGTGCTGGGATTATAGGTGTGAGCCACTGCCTCCAACCTATCAAATCGCAGTTTAAAAATTGGGCTGAACCATTTGAGGTTTCTGAGCTTTGTCAGGCAAAATGCTCATATACTGGCAGTTTTCTGTGTTTCAGCCTGCTGCATGGATGTCAGCTAAGCAGTCAGATACCTTCCACGTGCATGCATTCATTTTTAGGTTTTCTACCTTTCCGTGGCAGTTTACTAGTTATCAGAGCCATTTTTTGTTAGGGCTGGATTGGATTCCTAGTTTTTAAATGGTTGTAGTGAATTGGTACTGTTTTGTTGTTGTTGTTGTTAAGAAATTTAAAGGGGAAAAAAAAGAGACTAGGAAGTACATTAAGTATGTTGCCCTAAGACAGAAATTAGCTTGTTGTATTTGAGGCACAGAAGATATGTGTGACTGTCCTGAGTGAGGGGGAGGGTGATAAAAGATGATGTCAGAGCGGTGGACAAGGGCAGATCATGTAGGGCCTTCTAGAATTGGTAGGAGCGAAATGATGTGACTGCATTGCAAGTAGTGCTCCAGCTGCTATGTAGACATAGACCGTAGTGGGAGCAAAAGACCAGCTAAGTTGTTGCATAGTCGGGGCAAAAGCTTGGGGTTAGGTGGCTCAGACCAGAGTAGAAAGGAGGGGATATCCTGAGGGGTAGGGTGTGTTTCAGAAGTGGCCCCTGGAGGTTCAACGAGTAGAGATTAAATGATTACTTAGAAAATACTTAGAAATGTGTCTAGCACATACAGAGTGCTTGATTTTTGGTTCATTGTGGTTAAAACACTGAACAACCATTTTTTGAGCATGTAAGTCTGTTTCAGGCTCTGTTCTAAAGTATGTTACATTTCTTGGCTCATGTAATTCACTTGCCACCATATTGAGGTGGGTAGTTTATTACCCCCATTTTACAGGAGGGAATCGATAACACCGCTCTGCTCTTGCAAGTTTCTGTGCACAGTGGCCCCTTTCTAAAGTCCATCTTATTCTGCATTCTCAGCCACGGAGAGATGACACTTAACTAATGTGAATGGCCCCTCAGATGTAACCCAGTTGTTCTTTAAGAACCAGCTTCCAGAGAAGTTAAGTGTCTGGGACCTGACACAGCCTTGAGTCAGCATTTGCCCCTGCACTAGCAGCATCTTCTGAGCATGAGATTTGCGAACTTGGGCCAAATTCAGCTTTGGTCATCATTTCAACAATGAAGCTAATTTAAGCTTACTTCTGCAGCACTGGGAAAGTCATTATGAAATAAAAGCACACAAATTGAGAGAAAGACAGTGAAAATCACTTACCATCCATTGCTGATGAGTTCAGCCAAACACTGGAGGAATCAGAATAAGTGGTGTTCATAATAGCTTGTAAATGTTTTCAAACTTTTTATTTGGTGGATCTCCTGTGGGTTTGGTTTTCCTGACCCTGGTGTTGTGTCAAACAGACAGTATGGGCAGCGTGGCAGATAAACATTAAAAGTTCCCACCTACCATAAGTCATGTTTTCAGAGAACTGTGAACATGGAATAGCTTGAGAATTTCTCATAGGTAGGAAGTCCCTGTCCAGAGTCTAGCTTCTTTTGTGGTTGTTAGAGCATTTGTACCAGAACTAATCAGAGTTCTCTTGCTTTTTCCATTTGTACCAGCTGTGAGTACCTCCTGCCCACGGATGCAGCCTGCCATTTCACGATGACCTCTCATCCTATCTTGCTTCCTGACCCTTTTGTTTTTTAGCAATCATCCTCTTCCAGTGGTAGCGTGTTTGGGTCTGGAAACACTGGAAGAGGGGGAGGTTTCTTCAGTGGCCTTGGAGGAAAACCCAGTCAGGATGCAGCCAACAAAAACCCGTTCAGCTCGGCCAGTGGGGGCTTTGGATCCACAGCTACTGCAAGTAAGTTGAGAAGACTTTTCCCAGTCCCTTGGTACCCTAATGCCATTTTCATTCTTAATGCCATATCAAAGCTTCAGTGACAAATATAAAAAGGAAAAAAAAAATATCTAGAAGGCCCATTTAAAATATCTTCCCCAAAGCAGTGTGATCTGTTTTGGTTTTTTATTTTTGGTTTTTTAATGAGATGTGCTATATAATCATGAAAGACATCAGATCTGCAGGGAGAGGATCTGTGTATTGAGCTGCTCCCCTCTTCTCTCCCAAGGCCCAGTCGTTCTGTTTCTTAGTATTGGAGTGACTTGAAGTGAAGGCAAGCAGACAAGCATAAGTGAGCGGCAGCATAGCAAGCCGAGCATGCTGGGAGGAGAGCGTGTAGACTTTCATTTGGGTAGTACTCTCCGAATAGCTCCTGTGGGGAGATGTCATCCAAAAGTTGAAGCCTTTACTGTTTCTCACCTCTTACATTTTTGTTTTATTTTCATCTGAAGCTGTATCTGCTGGTACTTTCTTGAGCTAATTTCTTTTCTTTTTTTTTTTTTTTTTTTTTTGTTGTTGAGACAGAGTTTCACTCTTGTTGCCCAGGCTGGAGTGCAATGGTGCAATCTTGGCTCACTACAACCTCCGCCTCCCGTGTTCAAATGATTCTCCTGCCTTAGCCTCCCAAGTAGCTGGGATTACAGGCATGCGCCACCATGCCCAGCTGATATTTTTGGTAGAGACAGGGTTTAGCCATGTTGACCAATCTGGTCTCAAACTCCTCTGCCCGCCTCGGCCTCCCAAAGTGCTGGGATTATAGGATGAGCCACCATGCCCAGCCTTCTTTAGCTAATTTTTTAAATTCTTTTTTTTTTTTGAGACAGAGATTCGCTCTGTCACCAAGGCTGGAGTACAGTGGCGCGATCTCAGCTCACTGCAAGCTCCGCTTCCCAGGTTCACACCATTCTCCTGCCTCAGCCTCCTGAATAACTGGGATTACAGGCGCCCACCACCACACCTGGCTAATTTTTTGTATTTTTTATAGCAGAGATGGGGTTTCACCGTGTTAGCCAGGAGGTATTGATCACCTGACCTTGTGATCTGCCTGCCTTGGCCTCCCAAAGTGCTGGGATTACAGCCACCGTGCCCGAACTTTTTTTTTTTTTTTTTTGAGACAGTGTTACTCTGTCGCCCAGGCTGGAGTGCAGTGGCACAATCTCGGCTCACTGCAACCTCCTGGGTTCAAGCAATTTCAAGCAATTCTCCCAGCTCAGCCTCCCAAGTAGCTGGGATTACAGGCGCCTGCCACCAAGCCTGGCTAGTGTTTGTATTTTTAGTAGAGATGGGGTTTTACCGTGTTGGCCAGGCTGGTCTTGAATCCTGACCTCAAGTGATCTGCCCACCTCAGCCTCCCAAAGTGCTGGGATTACAGGCGTGAGCCACCGTGCTCGGCCTTAAAAATTCTTTGTTGAGCTGCGTATTCATGGTTGGAAATGAAAGAAATCTGTTTGTGTAGATCTGTTATCCTGCTGCTCAGACGGAGGCTGAGATTAGAAGTTGGGAGCCTGTCCTGTTTGTCTCAGCTTCTCTCATTTAATATGCTCTACATGAAGTTTCTCTCATCTGTTGTGCTGTGTGAGATCTCCATGAATCATGAGCTAGTGTTCTGCAGTCATGACGGATGTTTCCTTAATATTAAGACCTATGCAGTTAGCAAAACTTTCTATCCTGATTTGCCCTTCTAAATTCCTAAATCAAAAACTAGTCATTTTTTTAGTTCAGCCTGGGCAACACAGCAAGACCCCATCTCAAAAACCAAACAAACAAAAACCTAGTTATTTTGTTGTCACTATCCACTCCACTAATACATAAGGAAAGATTGCTTGTCAAGAGTCACATACCTTTTAATTCGTGAAATTATATAATCAGAAGTTTTTGTTCTTTAGGTTTCAGTTGGCCAGGAGGGATTTAGAATCCTGAATCTTAGAAATCAAGTCTAGTAGTTTTCAAAAACCGTTTTTGCCAATGAACTCTTAAGTAGCATCCTGACAAGGAAAACACAAGTAGGTTCATGCTGAAGCAGGGGTCAAGAACTCCAAGACACACAGCTGGCTGGCACCACACGACTGCGAGGCTCCATAGCACATACTTTGAAAACATCGTCCTTGACGGCCGGGCGCGGTGGCTCAAGCCTGTAATCCCAGCACTTTGGGAGGCCGAGACGGGCGGATCATGAGGTCAGGAGATCGAGACCATCCTGGATAACCCAGTGAAACCCCGTCTCTACTAAAAAATACAAAAAATTAGCCGGGCGAGGTGGCGGGCGCCTGTAGTCCCAGCTACTTGGGAGGCTGAGGCAGGAGAATGGCGTGAACCCGGGAGGCGGAGCTTGCAGTGAGCTGAGATCCGGCCACTGTACTCCAGCCTGGGCGACAGAGCCAGACTCCGTCTCAAAAAAAAAAAAAAAAAAGAAAGAAAACATCGTCCTTTTATGGCTCTTCATTTTCCATTGAGGAAACAAGCCCAGAATGCTGAGGTCACAGAGCGAGAAAGTCACAGATGTAGAGCTCAGCTAGACTGTATGTCACATGCCAAACACAGAATCTGGCACAGAATAGACACTTACTAACATGCTCCACTGCAGTTAGAAATTTGGGTTTATCCCAGAGCTAAGGTATCATATGTGAGGTTGTGTTACTGGCCAACTTTGTTGAAAGTTAAATGTGTCATATCCCTATAAACATTCATTTACTCATCTCTAATGCCATGACTCTTGACTGTCAAGGAGTTGCCTTTGGTCAGTGGCTGGCTGCAGCTGGTTTGCACGGACACAGGAGAGCCAGCCATGCACATCTTCCCAATTGCTCATTTGGTGACATCGTGTGGGGTAGCCTGAAATTAGCCATTGTAGAGTATTGATATCATGGAAATCAGAAAACCCTACAAACCAGGACTCCCCAGCCTGTCAAACATTACTGGCTAATTCTTTTAATTCTGGTTTAAAGTAAACACATAACTATTCTTGATACCGGATAACCCGTTAGTCTTCATCTTCTAAATGTTGGCTGTTAACTATAAACCAACAATTTACATGTGTGCCTAAGGGAAGTTTAAGTGATTTTGAAGGAGTCGAGGAAACACTTAACATTATATTATTTTTAAAAACTAAGTATATGATTTTATTTCAACAGTTTTTGGGGGTACTAAGTGTATGATTCGATAATGAAAGGGACAGGAATTTTTTTAACCCTGAGAGCCACCAAGTACAGGGTAAGAGGAAGGAACAGTGGAGAAGGAAGAGCTGGGAGTCGTCTGGGGAAAGTCTACTCAGGATACTTTCTGCAGAATCATCAGTGACAGCCTCTTTCTCCTTAGGTGGCTCTGCATCATTTGATGCTTTGAGCACCACTTCTTTCCTGGACTGTATGAACTGATTCTCCTGGTTCCTTCTGCCTTTCAAACAATTCTTCCTCTGCTCCTCTTCTTTTCTCTACATTCTCTCCTTCCCCCCCACCAACCCCCTCACTCCCCGCCCCATTTTGCTATGGGGCATTCCCCATGGTCCTCTGGTTCATCACAATCTTCTTCTCCCTTCCCCCTGGCTCTTCCATTGTGGTCTAAAAATCCATGCCAAACTGAGTCTTAAGACTGCATTTATTTTGCCCCTTTTCCTACTCAAAACCCTTGGACAGCTTCCCACTGACTATAGGATAAAGTCCAAACAAACTTGAAACTGGAATTCAGGGCCCTCCTTGAGCTGGCCCCAAAGTACCTTTCTGACTATACTCAGTTCCCCAGCACGTTCCTTCTGGTTTGGCCAGTTTGTCTGCTTGCTGTCCACACAAGCATCCCTCCCTCACTTCCTCCAGGTTCACATGGTACCCTGCACCCACCTTCTGAGCCTGTCCTTTTAAGGATGAATGCGAGGCTGTTTCTGTGTGCAGTGCACCTTTGCCTGGGGGTCATTCAGGCCCATCATGATTGCTCCCTCTCTGGAAATCCTGCGGCCCTTGGATTTCATCACTACACAAACCATCAAGCAGAAATAAACCAGCCTTTATTAATCACCTACTGTGTGCCAGAAGCTCAATGCACGTGAGCTAACCACTTCTTACAACAGTGCTTTTAGATGTGGCTGTCCCCATTTCACTGATAGGAAAATCAGGTCCAAGAGGAGATATAGACTGCAGAAGCTGCACAGCTGTTCAGTGGCATAGCCAGGATTTAGTCCAGATGCTTTTCCCGAGCTTTGATGGGCCATGTTTACATAACGTCTCCCAGGTATGCCTTTTTGGGCAACACTTATGCATGGAAAAGACCCCATTATAGAGAGTTATTTGAGCAGTGCTCTTTGTGACATTTATGCCCTGGGCTGCTTAGCCCTGAAACTGCCCACTTGACCCCTGAGAAGTCATGAGAACTATAACAATGACCAGGAGAGAGAAGCTGAGAACACCAGTGCTTGGAGTTGGCATGTTCTGTATCCAGAAGCTCAAAGTTTGCAAGAAGGGCTTCTCTCTGTCATTCCCATAGACTCTACTAAAGAAAACCTGTGAACCCATGGGGTCATCTAAAAGTCACCACCACTGTGGACTGTTACCCATAAGGACCTGTTGCCTCCTTGAGCACTGTCCTGAGGACACTGTGTAGGGCCATTCCCAGCACATTCTTTCTGTTTAGGGTCCTGAAAGACATATTTGTTTCGTCAGGAGATGAAGAAGCCATTTGATGATGATCATGTGGGTTCACGGGTCCCTCTACAACTGTTCTTGAAGAAAATATCTTGGAAAGTATCCTGGGCAAGAGCTTCTTGAGAGACCCCTTCAGAGTGTGCATTGAATTCTTGTTCAGTGACTTCAGACCTGCGGGATGATAATGGGGCCTGCTCTCTTTGTGTCAAATTTAATTACTATCCAGTTTATATTAAGTATAATTTAATTCAGGTTGGGTCAGGCACGCATGTTGGATTATGCTAGTGTTTTTGCCAAATAAAAGACCAAAGAGGATCCATGTTTTGCCAGCAGGGCAGAAGCCCAGAGCAGATGACAGTCTTACCTGTACTTGGCACCCCTAAAGTGTCAGTCACAGATGGCTATGCAAAGACAAACTTGTTTTTTTTACTGGATAGTTTATTTACAAGTCAAAAAGAATCTTCTATAGTGAAATATTGTTCTGTTCGCCAAGATATTCTCTTTGGTAATATGAGAATATGGTAACGTATTTTCAAAAGCTAGAGATTGTGTTATTTTGGAACCATTAGGAGAAAACCAAGAAACACATGTTGACATTAGAAACAGAGTCGCAGTCATTGTTTTATGCTACTATGTTTCAGAGCAGTTTAAATCAATGGTAAAATGTCTCAACATGCAGAGCTCCTTGAGAGACTAAATGAGAGTGATTACAGCTTTAATGGTGTCATTCTTGGGATCTTTTAAAAATGAAAAGGATTTCATTATCTCCTGCTGACCTGCTCAGTGTCTTACTAGCTGAAGTGTGATTGAGATGTGGAAGGAGGAGGTTGAAGGAACAGAGAAAGGCAGCAGCCTTTTCTGAGGGTCCACAGCATATCACACTAGTGCCCTGTGTGCATCATGTTATCTTCCTAGCATCCCTTGCAGAGTCAGAATTGCTGTCCTGTTCTATGTGTGGGGAAACTGGGACTTAGTTAGTTAAGTCCTTGCCCAGGGTCACGCAGCTATTAGGTAATCTCACCTGGGTCTGACTGCAAACTTCACTGCTTGTTCCACTATGATATGCCATAAAGATTTTAAAGTCAAAGAGTTTTAAATAGAGAAAAAGATTAAAAAGCCCAAAGACTTCTAAATGATCTCTAACTTCCCACCACTATCTCAGTAAAATCATTTCACCTCTCATTTCATATGGTTGCACCAAATTTCTCCAAGAGGAGATTCAACCCCAGTCTTGCCTTTGAATTTGTTTGCTATTTGAATTTTGCATTGCTAGCACTAACAAAGTACAAAATTGCAGCCCTCTGTTATTGAAATACCAAGTAAACAGAATGGCTGAGAAGCCTGTTTTTCATCTCCAGTGTCAAATGTACTGCCATTGAAGGAATCAAACTTAACTTTGGGCTAGCTCAATAAGGGGAAGGTCAAACTGCTCAGGAGGCCGTTTTGTGGGACTCCATCAAGGGATAAATTATCCTGTGGTACTGAGTTATGAGGGTGATACAAAGGGATTTCTTAACCACCCAGCTGCCAATGTCTGACATACCCGACATGTGGGTCCTTAGCCAGGCTCTCCAATTGTCAGCAGTGTTTTTCTAGGGCAGTGACCATAATGTGATGGGCCAAGTCATATTGTATTACTGGTGCCTGGAAATTTGAGGTGACTGGGTCCCAAAGTGAGGCCACTCACCTCCTGGATTGTGGATTAAGAGCATTGCATCTGGACGTATTAACCGTGTTGGCTGTCCTGTTAGGGTCGGTTTGTAACAGCACAAGTTGAGAGACCTGAGGAGTGACAGGTTAATGGGGGCGGGGGGGGCACCCCTTCCAACAGCTCAACTTTGAAAATGATGTTAAGTGTTCCCCCTCTTCCAGTCCTCTCCTTTCACCTTCCCTGTGAACACCTGACTGGCTTAGGGAGAGACTGGTCCTTTATTACCCACCCAGTGATTACCCAGAGCATACGCTGTGCCTCCCATTTATGCCTTGTGTCTTTGGGCATCCACTCCACTTCAGGATAGCTTCTGCCTGCCTTGTGGGCATATATTTAATAAAACACCCATCCAGACGTGGTAGGAAACGTGAGTTATTCCTTGCCTTCCCACCAACACCCCTTCCCCCACAAAAAAAAGTTTGAAAACTCTGACATATCCTATGCTGTATTTGAGTGACAGCTTCTGTGTATGTAGACTTTGGCTATTTATTGTCTGTCAGGTTTGCATTTCTTGTAACAGGTGAAAAAATTCTCAGCCATCTTGGTTTTTAGTAGTTTCCTTTTTTCCTTTAATTCTTGGAGTGAATTCAGTGCATAGTTGAGAGAGGGGGAATGACCCCCTAGATAAGTATCTAAAAGGTCAAGGGCTTCATTAAACCTCTTAGAGGAAATCTGACTGGAAGTCTTGCTAGCCTCTTTCACATTCTTCAGACCATCCCTATATCCTCTTGGATCAAAGATAGGAGCACCATGATTTTTCTCATTTCACTGCCATTCTCTGACCAGCTCGGGCAGCCATAAGCATGCTGAACTTGACTATAAAAGCAGTAAGTAAGTGCTAGAAGCCATTATGCCTGGTTTGGATTTGTTCTAACTTTAATTTCCCTAGTTTGACAAAATTTGAAGTTGGTCTTGGTGTGAAGAAACCAATCAAAGCAAACCCTTTCTTCAGAAGAAAGCAGCCTGTGGGGCTGAGCCATGGCCTCCATTGCTGGGCCGTCCTGACACCTGCGGGAGCACGCCGTGAGCAAAGGAGCCTCTTCAGTGGGGCCTCTCACTGTTCCTTTGTTTTGTGCCTGTAGAATCATGCCAGAAAATCCTGAGCCTGGGTGCCAGAATGACTAAAAACTTCCCAGCAAGGTGTGTGAAAATCAGAGAAAGTGCCTGTCGCTCTGCCGCTCCGCTCCCTTGGGTTCTAGGCGGCTTGTCACTCCCATCTTCCCAAACACCCAACTGATATTTTTTTCTTTGTTCTGAGAAGCAGGTAAAGACATTTCTCTCCCTCTGACCTCCCTCACATCTTCATCTCTTCGTCTCTTCAGATACCTCTAACCTGTTTGGAAACAGTGGGGCCAAGACATTTGGTGGATTTGCCAGCTCGTCGTTTGGAGAGCAGAAACCCACTGGCACTTTCAGCTCTGGAGGAGGAAGTGTGGCATCCCAAGGCTTTGGGTTTTCCTCTCCAAACAAAACAGGTACTCCTGTGTCTATTTGTTATGGTTATCTTTTTATGCATATTTGTTTATGCGTAGATATCTGGAAGGAGACATCTCTAGGGTGGTTATCTCAAGAGAATAGGATTGGAGTAAAGAAGTTAACTGTTTCCTCCTCTTCATATTTACTGAGCATCTGCTACATTCCTAACATGATTCCAGGTCTTCCAAAACATGTTTAAAAGCATAGAATGCAAGTAATGCAACCTTTTTTTTTTTTTTTTTTTTTTTTGTGAGATGGAGTCTAAATCTGTTACCAGGCTGGAGTTCAATGGTGCGATCTCGGCTCACAGCAACCTCCGACTCCCTGGTTCAAGCAATTCTTCTGCCTCAGCCTCCCTAGTAGCTGGGATTATAGGCATGTGCCACTATACCCAGCTAATTTTTGTACTTTTAGTAGAGACGAGGTTTCACCATGTTGGCCAGGCTGGTCTCCATCTCTTGACCTCATGATCTGCCCACCTCAGCCTCCCAAAGTGCTGGGATTACAGACGTGAGCCACGGCGCCCAGCTGTAATGCAACTCTTTAGAGAACATAGAGTCTTCTTGGGAAGAAAACATTGTAAATATTTTACAGCTGCAGAACAACCAAAGTAAAGGAACACATAAGGAAATGATAACTAAAGTATCAACAGGAAAGCATCCTGAGTCATGGATTTGTTGGGGTGTCCATTATTTGTGAGGGTCAAAGCAGATTATCTGTTTAATTTCTCATCTGTATATTACTTTCCCCTCTTTCGCAAATCAGTTTTTTTTTATTTTTTTTTATTTTTTTTTTTTTTTTAATTTTTTGAGACGGAGTCTGGCTCTGTTGCCCAGGCTGGAGTGCAGTGGCGCGATCTCGGCTCACTGCAACCTCTGCCTCCCAGCTTCACGCCATTCTCCTGCCTCAGCCTCCCGAGTAGCTGGGACTACAGGCGCCCGCCACCACGCCCGGCTAATTTTTTGTATTTTTAATAGAGATGGCATTTCACCATGTGAAATGGTGATGGTCCTGATCTCCTGACCTCGTGGTCTCCCCACCTCGGCCTCCCAAAGTGCTGGGATTACAGGCGTGAGCCACCACTCCTGGCCCCCAGATCCCTTTATTTTTAATTGAAGTATATGTGTATCCACAATCCAAATAGCATAAGTACACAGCTGAATTAATTTTCATAGTTGACACCCATGTAAACAAGGAAAAGGAACATTACTAGCACTACTTTTTATCCCAGCATTACTATTAAAGTATACATTTATATAAACTATATGCCTTTTTATAATCATGTATGATGTATTTATAACTAAAAATTTTTAAAGAACAATATATGTTTAGATCTGAAAACGTACTTCATTTCTGTCATCTGCCTCTCCATTCTGTTTCTGTCTCTGAGATCTGCGGGGAGTCTGCACTCCTGTTCTTGTTGATGGAAAGTTGTGTGAAAAGAATTTTTTTTAAGACGGGGGGGTCCAGGGTAGGCTGTTTGAGCAAGCAGCTTTTGAAAGCAAACTCCCCGTGGGTAAGTGGGCAGGACACTTGGCCCCCGTATGTATAGGATGCTCTGAAATATGCTAATTCCAGAGGAAGAATCCAACCTCAGGACTAGATGCATCGGTGGCTCTGACTTGGGAGTAAGGCTGCCCCAAATTAATACATGGAGTCTCATGTGTAGAGCCTAAAGTGCTGTGGTTTCCAAATCTACTGTGTACCTTACCTCAAACTGTGACTCAGGTAGCTTAGTCCTTGGTTGCTAGTTGTTAATACTGCTCCTAGAAATTAAGACAGAATATTCTGAAATGGGCTTCGCAGCTTTCTTTTTGCCACACACACAGTGCATTATTTAAAAATGAAAGGGCCACAAGGCTTTTATCCCAGTTAGAAAGGCACATCGTGAACATTTCAACTGGGGAATATTAGTTCATCGATCATCAAAACTTTGTATGTTTTTAGAAGACTGATAATGTTTTCTTTGACTCTTATGGTTTTCCTATATATGGTTCTTTATCCTGGGATTATGTCCCCATTGATTTGGAAATCTGACCTTTGAAATTGCGCCTGTAATCCCAGCAGTTTGGGAGGCTGAGGTGGGAGGATCACTTGAGCCCAGAAGTTCAAGACCAACCTAGGCAGCATAGTGAGACCTTTATCTCTAAAAGAAAAAAGGAAAATCACACCTAATTCAGATACTGGGTACAGTGGCTCACACCTGTAATCCCAGCACTTTGGGAGGCCAAGGAAGACAGATCACTTGAGTCCAGGAGTTTGAAACCAGCCTAGGTAACATGGCAAAAACCCGTCTCTACAAAAAAAAAAAAAAAAAAAAAAAAAAGAAAATGCAAAAATAAGCCAGACACAGCGGTGCATGCCTGTAGTCCCAGCTCCTCAGGAGACTGAGGTGGGAGGATCAATTGATCCTGGGAGGCAGAGATTGCAGTGAGCCAAAATTATGCCACTGCACTTCATCCTGGGCAACAGAGCAAGACTGTCTCAAAAAAAGAAAGAAAATCTGACCCTTTTATTTGTCCAGTCTTAGAGAAAATATATGCCTCAACTTTTCATAGTATTTATTTATTTGCCCCATGAAACTGTAATACTTAGATCGAGGACTCAAAGAGAGAAAAATTATCTTTCAGATACATAAGATGAATGAACTAGTAACCATAAACATCAAAGCGAGGGCAGGGGAAAGACCACGCCCCCTCATGTTTCGGGGACTTCATCTCTCTGCAGCCGAACTCGTATTGGTTCTGGAGAGCTTTTTCTGTCGAAAGAGGGGACTGGAAGTCCCGAGTAGAAGGAAGGGCTGCTGTGAATGGAGGAACTGCCTTCCTGCGCAGGCATCGGGGCAGTCACTTTTTGCTGTAAGAGAGATTTTAAGTTGATGATTTGGATGGGTCTTTGAAAAATTCCAAAGTGTCTATCTTCCCTTCTGTAAAATTGCATTAGAAAATAATCCTGAGACGGGCGGATCACGAGGTCAGGAGATTGAGACCATCCTGGCTAACACGGTGAAACCCTGTCTCTACTAAAAAATATAAAATACTAGCTGGGCGAGGTGGCGGGCACCTGTAATCCCAGCTACTCGGGAGGCTGAGGCAAGAGAATGGCGTAAACCCAGGAGGCAGAGCTTGCAGTGAGCTGAGATCCGGCCACTGCACCCCAGCCTGGGCGACAGAGTGAGACTCCGTCTCAAAAAAAAAAAAATCCTGCTGGAGGTCATCCAGGGAGAGGACAGGAGGAAGGTGGGATGGAGTGAAGATGGCCTTGCTGCCCTGCCCACCATGGTCAGTGGTCTACACCCTGCTTTCTTGCTCAAGTGTTAGATTTGGAGGGAGGCAGGCAGGGGATGAATGATGGGAAGATGAGAGGTGGGCGTTTTTGAGTCACACAGACCTTGTTCCAGTCCGAGCTCTAGCACCCACCAGCTGGCTAAAGTTTGGACAAGTGGCATATTCTCTAAGTCTCAGTTTCCTCCCCTGTGATGTAAGGATCCCAGGTTTATTGGGAGGATTTAAGAGAACTGCTGTGAAGCCCCTGGCATAGAGTGGGCCCTCAATAAATTAGAAAGTTTATCATCATTGATTATTAGAAAATTTATATTTCTTCTGGAGAAGAAATTTATGAAATATGGCAACTAATAAAATCGAACCCCTCCTGCCATCAGGAGGGAGTTGCCTGTTTAAGCCAGAGTGACTGTTTTCTTCCTGTGTAATTTGGCTGGGACCCAGGTGTGTTGTTTGGCGGCTTTTTCTCTCTGTGTATACTTAACCGCCACCCCTCCCCTGTCCAGTTTATTTTCTGTATCGTCATGACTTCCTATTTTTCACTCACCTTCCACCAAGAAGTCTAAGCAATATTGAAAAGAAGGCACTGGATAAAGCCCTGCATGTCTAGGAAGAAAGTGTAACTAGATCTATGATCAGTCTTAAATAATTCAACTGTAAGGGTTTTTTAGCACTTTTTTTTTCCAGTCTGTTATATTTATAACCCAACAGTCTCCATTATCATGGCTTGGAATTTCACTCAAGGTTTTAAAATGCGGAATGTTAACCCAAACATGAGCCTTAGCAAAAAAGTATCTTCTCAGTTTTGCAGCCTACCACTATTAATGGCAAATAGGCACATGAGTGAATCACAAAGTAACAGTTAACTGAGGAATTCAGCTGACAACTTTTCATACCCAGGATTTGATCTTTCCTGATTCAGACAGCAGAATCTTGTGTTGTGATTACATAAACAATAAGAAGTCTAGATTTCATCCCTCTAACAGCAGATTCACTTTCTGAAAGGGGAGAAAAGGCTTGTCGCTAAGCCACCATTACTCCCGCCAGCATGCAGTTCATGGGCCAAAACTCACTTTAAGAAGTACTACCCTTTAGAGAGTGCTCCCAGTTAGAGCACATTTCCTAGGCCATTCTGTTCCGTTCATTCCAGAAGACACTCACTGAGTGTCTGTTCTAATACTGTAGAATGATTTCAGCAGTGTCTTGGAAGTTTGGGAACCCACATCAGGAATAGCTCAGGGGAGGATGTTTTGTCTTCCCGCCTGACAGGCATCACCAGCAATCAGAGTAGGGTGCCCCATGTGTGACCTCAGCCTTGTCTGTGTGGCCACCTGTGTGGTGCTGCCCTCTGGCAGCCTGAGCTCACTGGGCAGCATTGTTGGCAACTTGCAGAAGGCATCTGAACTCTAGGGCTGTCCTCACTGTTAACTTACTATTTTATTAGATTTCTACAGCAGCCTACCTCCAAAGAAGAAATTTGGTGTATTTTTTCATTGAGAAGTAATTCCAAACTGCAGGAAAAAAGCATTTAAAAAAAAAAAAACAACCTTCTCCACTGAGCGAGAGAAAGGGAGACTCCGACGAGAGATGTAGGAGCCATCAGGCTGTAAATAAATAAAAAGCACCTGGCTGGGCGCCATGGGCACGTCCATCTCTGCTATGACCCAATTCAGGAATTCTCCCTGAGAGGGGATTTTGAGCCTCTGATTTTATAATTTGGGTTTCTGTGAAGCTAGATGTCTTGCCTACGTACTGATAAGTAATATAGTCTGTCATCTTTTTGACAGCTGGGTAGGGATTGGAGTTTTCGAGAATGGTTTTTCACTCCAGACAGCTCAGAGGACCTGCAAGGGTGGGAGGTGCACCGGGCTCTCGGAGGTCTGCTCACACGGCTTCACACTGACTTCACAGGGTTTGCAGGAGCTCTCCTGAGTGGACCCCAGAGCCCTCTGATGGAAATGGAGGGGGGTGGTTTGCTTTGAGGGCTTTTGTTTTGTTGATTTCATTACTATTTTCTTGATAGAAGGGCAGGTGGGTGTTGTTCTTTAGTTCTTGCATTTGAATTGCTGACATCCTCTTTTCCCTTTTTTTCTTCCTATTTTGATTTGGTTTCTCATTGCTCAATGTCTTCTCTTCCTATCTCCTCCTCTCTTTCTCCCTATTTCTGTTTGTTTGCCTCTGTTTTGCTCAGGTGGCTTCGGTGCTGCTCCAGTGTTTGGCAGCCCTCCTACTTTTGGGGGATCCCCTGGGTTTGGAGGGGTGCCAGCATTCGGTTCAGCCCCAGCCTTTACAAGCCCTCTGGGCTCGACGGGAGGCAAAGTGTTCGGAGAGGGCACTGCGGCTGCCAGCGCAGGAGGATTCGGGTAAGCCCCCTGGGGAGGGCCCTTGGGAACCCACATGCCAGCCAAAAAGCACTAGGGGCCTGTACTTGTGCTCTGAAAAGAAATTTGACCATGAGCTGAAGGCCCCTCCCTTGAAACTGGTGAACAACTCCCTCAAGGATTCCTGTTCCTCTCCAGGGTAAGACTCATTTCTTTTAAGCCAGGCTTTGTTGAATTCATGGGTGGACCTCAGCTGTGTTGCTGTTCCCTCGTATGAGAAATGCTGGTCATCAGAGCCCCTGTTCTCCTGCTGGGGCTAAAGGAAGGCGCCAGCCCTGCCTTAACTACTGCTTTGTAGCCAAGGGGTACCCCCTTGTGAAGCTTCTGTTAGGAAGTCCTCAATGAATGGTTTCCACCAGATTCTTTCATCTTGGGATTGTTCTGTGTTAGACCCATTGTCCTTGAACAAACAACTCCCTGTGTCCCCTGCTCCCCTGCAGCCCCCACAGTGAGTATTCAGTTCCACAGGTCCCCCGCCATGGGAAGATCCTGGATGATCAGGAATTTCGAAGCTGCTTTCATTGCCTTGTGTGCGTCTGCACTGGAAAAGGCCATGTTAGGGAGTTGCTTTTAAGGGCAGAATTTCAGTCTGGTTGCCAAAACCCCAAGGGAAAAAAAGTCTTCACCCCACCACAACATCCCAATTTAAAAATTGTACATGGGGTGACTACCAAGTCTCATTCAAAGGAGGTGTTGATGCCTGAAAGTTCTAAAATGCCTCTCACCACGGTACTGGGCTCAACATGAGCTGAAGACGTGGGGGAGGGGAGATGATTTTGTCTGGGGGAATTGTAGAGATACTTGGGATCTGAGTCTTGGCAAGCTAACAGCATCTTTATCTTGAAAATAAACTATAGTATGTTCTTACTCACACCCTTTCCCTCCATGCAAGATGCTGGAGCGCAGCAGCAAGAGTGAGGGTTGGCGTGCTGCTGCTCCTGTTTCACAGGGAGACTAATGCCTTAGGTTTGCCCTCAGGAAACCCCAAGAATTAAGTTAAGGAAAGCTTGGAAAAGACAGTTAGAGACCCACTTAGGCTGGTATTCTCAGAGGTCTTAATGGACGCTGTTCTCTGCAGTGATGACCTAGCACATAGTACCACAGAGTTGGTGGAAGGTGTGGGTTGACTGGGTATCTTGAGAATTGATTTATTTATTTGAAACCAGCTGTTTTCTTTACTAGTAGAAAAGTATCATATTCTGCCTTGGGGCAGCTCTCACACAAATCCTGACTGGCTGGTTAGTCAGTCCTAAAAAGGGTTAATACCAGGTCAGTTATTAAATCCCCATAAAAGCCCATTACCTTCTTCCAGGTCCCTGGCCATGAGCCTGTCTCCTACCCTGAAGGGCAGGCCTCTGAGAAGGGCAGGCTGTTGCTGATGAGGCCCAAGGCAGGAGGAGGAAGGGAGCAGATGCTCCTGGGAGAAAGTCCAATGAGGGCAGATCCCTTGGCCACCTTTGTATGGAAAGAGCCTTGACCTCACCATTAACAGTGAATAGAATGGTGGGAAGGGGGAGTTTTAGATACTTTTTCTTGCTTTGGGGTTGACTCTTGCCCCAGGTGCTGCCCCTTCTCCCAGAAACCACTGATCTATTTCCCTCACCTAGTCACCTCCAGACCCCAGAAGCTCTCGCCAACCCAGCTGAATTCCTCTGCAAATGATTCAGGGGGCTCTGGTAGGCCACACAGTGCCACCTTCTGTGCTGGACCATATCTGGAGGGAGAACTGAGCGAGGGTGCACAGGGGATTGTCTCCAGGTGGGGCCAGCAGGGGAAAGAAAATGGTGGCCACTTTTACATTGTTTTGGATAGTAATTATTGATTCAGGAAACAAATACAAAATCCTGAATGAAACGACTTGGAAAACGTAAATAGAATCAAGATCCCAAGAGGAGCTGAAGATAAATAAATGGGAGCGGGGTGTGGGGGAATGGTCGGTAAGTGAGAAATGCTAAAATGATAGAATAAAGCTTCAGGATTGTTGGAGGTAGAGCAGGAAATGTGTACTGCACAGTTCCCAAATGCCCTGGTGTTCTGATAGGGGATGGAAACCAAAACACTGGCCAGGTTGGATTTCATACTGTAGTCCTGCCGTTTTTCTTCCCAGAGCAGAGATAAAAGTTGGCCCTGGACGATAGCTCGTTCTCTCTAAAAGGCTGCTAGTTAGGCCCAGCCTGTCACCCTGGATCATGTGTGTCGTGTATATTGAGATTTACAGCAGGGGGCTGAGGCTTGCAGATGGCCGAGTGGTGAGAGGCCCCACTGACCTCGGTCTGTTTCTCACTGGAGCGCAGGTTTGGGAGCAGCAGCAACACCACATCCTTCGGCACACTCGCGAGTCAGAATGCCCCCACTTTCGGATCACTGTCCCAACAGACTTCTGGTTTTGGGACCCAGAGTAGCGGATTCTCTGGTTTTGGATCAGGCACAGGAGGTGAGCTGCTACAAGTTCTCCCTGCGCAAGCACAATGGGTCCCTCTTGCCTTCTTCCCCCAAACAAATGAGTATGTTTTACCTGACCAGTCTGTTTAGTATTTTAAAAGCTGACCAGGCACGTGGCTCATGCCTGTAATCCCAGCACTTTGGCAAGGCGGGAGGATCACTTGAGCCCAGGAGTTTGAGACTAGCCTGGGCAACATGGCAAGACCCCATTCTCTACAAAAAAATTTAAAATTGGCCAGACATGGTGGCACACACCTGTGGTCCCAGCTACTCAGGAGGCTGAAGCAGGAGGATCACTGGAGCCCGAGAGGTCGAGACTGCAGTGAGCTGTGATTGCACCACTGCACTACAGCCTGGGTGACAGAATGAGACCCTGTCTCAAAATAAATAAATACATAACATACTGAAAGTGGTTGAAAAAAAAATTTTTTTTTTGAGACAGAGTCTCGCTCTGTTGCCCAGGCTGGAGTGCAGTGGTGCGATCTCGGCTCACTGTAAACTCCGCCACCCAGGTTCATGCCATTCTCCTGCCTCAGCCTTCTGAGTAGCTGGGACTACAGGCGCCCACCGCCACACCCGGCTAATGTTTTGTATTTTTAGTAGAGACGACGTTTCATTGGGTTAGCCAGGGTGGTCTCCATCTCCTGGCCTCATGATCCACCCGCCTCAGCCTCCCAAAGTGCTGGGATTACAGGCGTGAGCCACCGCGCCCAGCCGAAAAATAAATATATATATATATATGTATGTATCTCATACCAATGAAGAAATATATATATTTTTTAGGTTTTGGTTAGGCTTAGAACATTGTGTCATTTCTTACCAAAGAAATTACTGTCTTTATTTCCTCTCAGGATTTGAGAAGCCCAACATAATAATGGTCTTACTAGGCCTTGGTTTAAAAATCTAAGCCAACAGACTAAAAAAAAAAAAAAAAGAAAACACGTAGAAACTTCACAAAACATGTTGCATTTGTTTAACACTCTGCTTCTTCAGACGGCAGAATATGTGTCTTCCGTTTTGTTCTTGCAATAAACTGATGAGGCACAGAATTTAGGTATCATTACAGTCGTACCAATGACGAAACAGAAACTCCAAGGAACTAAGTGATTTGCCGAGAGTCAGTTAGCAGCAGAACCAGGCTTAGAATCCAGCCATCTTGCTTCTCTGGCCCTCAAAAAGAAGAGGAAGCAAATGGATGGAAAAACAACCACAGCACAAAAAAAAAAAAAGTTTTCCTAATGAAATGAATCTGTGTGGTCCAGCGCAGTTGAGAGAGAGGCCAAACCAGAGACCCTCTGCCTACAGCTGGGGCCGGGGAGGGAGGAAGAACCTAAAATACCAAGAAGATAACTCATAAAAAGTAAAGGATTTCTTCTGCCTTCTGGGGGATCTGAGCAGCTCCAGAGGACAAACTCAGAATAAAGGGGCTTCTGCATGTACCTTTCCTGCCTTCCTGTAGGTGGGGGAGGCATGGAGGGCTTCCCATGACTGAGAAGCACAGGAGGGCAGGCACTTAGCATGGGGACCACCTTCATCTTTCAAGTGGACGCGTGCTTTAACTTCTGTCTTCTGCTTTTCAGGCTTCAGCTTTGGATCAAATAACTCGTAAGTATCCCCCTTTTTGAGTCTGACCTTAATTAAAAGCATTAAATAAGGTTGGAAGTGTGTGGATCTTGCTGGATTTGTGCATTTTCTTTTCATTTTTTCCTGTTTTTAGAGTTTGTCCTGGAAGTGTGGGGGTTCAGCAGCAGGGTTTAGGTTTTGTGGACTTGCTCTTCTCCGTAGCAATGTGACAGAAGGTGCCAGGCCTCGCCTTCTTAAGAGACATGGTTCAGAGAGAAAGAGAGCAGCCTGCCAGTGAGCCGGGCCTGAGGGCAGCGCTGAGGAGATGCTGCTCGTGACTTCCCTTGTGGGTTTCTCGGAAGCCGTGTGCTAACCCCTGGGCTCTGGGCCATCACCAGGTCTCGTGCTGATCCATCCTCTTTGCTTCTGTGTAGAATTTCATGGCGTTAAAATTCAGTCTTAGCCAGGTGGGTGGTTCATGCCTATAATCCCAGCACTTTGAGAGGCTGAGGTGGGAGGATTGCTTGAGCCCAGGAGTCAAGACCAGCCTGCGTAACATAGTGAGACCCCATCTCTACTAAAAATTTTAAAAATTAGCTTTGCATGCTGGCTCATGCCTGTGGTCCCAGCTACTCCAGAAGCTGAGGTGGGAGGATCACTTGAGCCTGGGAGGTCGAGGCTGCAGTGAGCCAAGATGGTACTGCTACACTCCATCCTGGGTGACAGCCAGTCCCTATCTCAAAAGGAAAAAAAAACAAAACAAAACTGGACAGGCACAGTGGCTCACACCTGTCGTCCTAGCACTTTGGCAGGCCAAGGTGGGCAGATCACTTGAGGTCAGGAGTTTGAGACCAGCCTGGCCAACATGGTGAAACCCTATCTCTACTAAAAAATATATATATATATATAGATACACACACACAAATTAGCCAGGCATGGTGGTGCATGCCTGTAATCCCAGCTACTTGGGAGGCTGAGGCAGAAGAAGTGCTTGAGCCTGAGAGGTGGAGGTTGCAGTGAGCTGAGATCACGCCATTTCACTCCAGCCTGGGCAACAGAGTGAGGCTCTATCAAAAAAATAATAATAAAAAATCGGAGTCCTGACCTTTGCACACAGGCAGAGCAGCAGAGCCTGTGACTGCTCTGTGACAGAGCAGCTGACTCCACCACTCTCCTGTGCTTCCTTGCAGGTCTGTGCAGGGTTTTGGTGGCTGGCGAAGCTGAGGGGGTGTCAGCAGGCCCTTCGGTCCCTGGGACCAACTGCATCCTCAGCTGCTTCACCGAGAAATGCTGGAGCAGGCTGCTCAGACCGACGCTGCCATCAGAACACATACACCCAGAAAGAAACAACAGAAACCGAAACTCACGAGACGCGTGATTACTTATTTTATATTTCACGTTGGGTTTTCCCTGCCACTATTAAACTGTCCGTTTCTGTACAGAATGTATGTGCGTTTTTTCAGATCACAGCCAAGGAGATAGCCCCGTTTCTGTGGCTCTGAGAAGCCAGCAGAGCCTCCATCAGCCAGCACTGTGTCTTCAAGGATGGCATCCAAAGTCACCAGCGTCGGGTGTTGGTAAACAGCATCGAATGTGCCATGGTCTCACTTGGACCTAGCGCCCTCCACATAGGGAAGAGGTTGAAGGCTGGTGGGTTGTCTTTTTGAGGCCAAAACTTGGTTATCTCCTCTCCATGTTCTTTTTGCCGTTGTGTATCAGGACCATCCAAGGACACACTCTGAGATTGAGAAGAGGCACAGGAAGCCACTCACGCCAGCAGCAGTTGAGTTTCAGAAGCAGCCATAGCGCTCTTCAGTACAATAGTAGCCAGCGTGAGGCAGGACAGTGCTGCCCGTTAGCCAGCCTTGTCCGCTCATCTCCATGTGGCTCTTGGGTGCTGTGTGTCCTACTCCAGAGAGGAGGGACCAGTTGCTTGAGAAGACAGCCTTTATATTCTGTACGTGGCAGTGACATTGGTAACCACACCTACCCATTGTCTGCTAACCACAGTGCAGATAGCCCTTGGGTAGACCCAGGAAGTGGGAAGACACTGCTATTGCCAGACAACACTAGCAGAACGGTAGTGGATTTGACAACAGTGTTTGCTAGCACGGCCCAGAGTTCATCACTGCAGTTCTGTTACAGTGCTTCTTTATCTTTAATGCAGTATCTTTGAGGCCTGTAACATCCTAGATAGTTGCCATCAAACAAGGACCATCTCGCATTGAAAACAGATGTAAGACTTTCTCTTTCAGACCCAGAATCTGACAGCACTTTGGCTTGGGTCATGAGCAGGGGCGAGTTGGGAAGGGATTTTTTTTTTTTTTTTTTGAGTTTTACATATTGGCAGGTTTTTTTTTTTTCATGTTTTAATAAAAGTTTGACATGACATTAATTCATGTTGCAGAGAGTGTGACCTCCTTGGTTCTGATGGCTTAAGTGGGGACAGTAGACCATGGTGAGGTCCCTACTGTGTCACCGCCTGGTCTGATGGTCCCCATCTTGCCTATGCCCCAGCATCACCTGCAGAGTTCTTTGTCAAGTACACATTCCCAGCCTTCATCCTGGGGACTCTGGCTCCAGAGGACTCAGATAGAGGCTAGATACCCACCTGGCTTTGTTTTTGGTGATTTCTTAAGCTCGCAAGAAGAGGAATCTCATTGTATAGCACTGTTGGGTTTCAGAAATCCCTCCCTCAACCAGATGCCAGCAGAGCCAAGAGCTGAAATTAGATCCGTGGTGTCTCTGGATGTCTGTCACCCTGCACTCTGTGCAGTTAGGAGAGGGAGGGGCTGTCTGTACGGTCCGTTATCTAGGGGCCCTGCCTCTCGCAAAGAGCTGGGGTCTCCAAAAATTTAATGTGTGCCCTTTTTGGTCCTTGTAGAATTGAAGAGCCTGACACCTTCTCCACGCTGTGTTCACAGGAGGCCCTCTCAGCCATGAAGTGGGGGGACAGTCCCCAGTGACATTCACAGCCAGTCACAAGGCATGTTTCTCCCACGTGGGCTCGTGCTAGTTTGTATACAGAGGCCATCTGGAGACAAAGGGACTCAAGCTCTGACAGGAGAGGCTCATGGCGGAGGGCTTAGCTTTAAAGGGAGAGGTGCTGCAGGCTCCATTCTGCCCTTGGCTGTCATCCTGCTGACTGGCACCCAGGCCGAGCCAGTCTTCTCCTACCCTTCTGCTTCCCCCTGGACACTCCTTTTTATAAATAGAAATGGTTCGGCCTAAACCCTTGACCTCAAATTCTCTGCGTTGATCCTCCATTGAGGTGGCATGTGACATCTCTCCATAAGGCACTATCAGCTGTGCTCAGGCAGATAACACCCCCACTCCCTGTCAGGCAGCAGCCCCGGAAGAATGTCCTACAGGCCTGTGAGCCCCTCCAAGTTTCTTTTTTGGGTTCGATTACAGTGGTAGATGGCAGGGGTCAGCTCAGCCTGCATCCCCTGACGCCCGAGCTGTCGGGATGTCCGGCTGGAATGCACGGTCGCTCCCGCCTGCCCGGGAAGGAGATGGCGGGGCTTGAGCCGCCTCCAAATCAGGGCAGGCAAAGAGTCTGGATGATGACAAGAAGGGGCCCCAAGGATGCCCACGCAGCCCTTCTGGGGCATGTGCTGCAGTGGCAGGCACAGGCAGTTTCATTTATGTTTCTGTTCCGCTTAACTCAGGAAAGGGGGAAGGCAGACTGCGCTAGGTCGTGTTTTGCTTGGCTTTTCCGGACACATATATCCCACTGGTAATGGGTGCTTCAGATGGCAACACAGGGATAGAGGCCAAATTAAGCTCCTCAGGGACGGGTAGAAAGAACAGTTACACAATGACACGATCCCGGCCTCTCGGGGCAAAAGTGTGAGTCCTGTGGCACGATGACGTGGCTGAGCCAGTGGTCCCCTCCACATGGCCCTGCCTACCTGTGAGTGTCCTGGTGCCTGCTTTCAGCTTTGAGTTCTCTGTGGCAGCCTCCGGAGAGGCTTCTAGGTCAGGTCTCTGGCATTACAGAGGGAGTGGACTGTGCAGGCTGCCCTCACTCTAACCCTCACCTGCTCTGTAACCAGATCGAGGCGCTTGGCGTCTATGTCTTGAGAGTTTTCCCCTCAGTTGTAAAGCAGAACTTGAATACCTGTCTGGCAGGGCGGTGGTTCGGACTAAATGAGGTGGACCTGGCACAAACCTGCTTCCCAGTCTTGGTGATGCTGTTGCGCTTACCCACAGGCTCTGGCCTGACATCCGGGTTAAATGGTCCCAAGTTGGTTCCCACTTCGACTTCATCTGGTTTGTGGGGTAGGGACATCTCCCGCCTGGCCTTCAGCCCCCTTATCAAGCACAGGACCCCGCTGCTGGGGAGTGGTGCGGCTCTAGTACAGCGCACAGGCTTTCGTTGGAGATTCTTCATCAGGGCTGGGCTAGGCCCTTGAATCTGTTTTTCCTAAAACAGTGATTTCCTAAAGCGAGTGACTCTTGTACAGATGGTCCGCGAACCCCATGGGCCTTCTGCTTTAATCTAAGGACAGTAACCATAAATACCCACCCAGGGGGCATCTGAAACACAGAACCCAGCTCCCACGAACATGTTTATTTTGCAGTTAATCCAGGCTAAGGGATTTTATCTGAAATGGTTGATAAGAAACACAAGTGCAAATTTAAGCTGCTCTCTGGCACCTGCTCAAAAAAGAAAAACTCTGCAAGTACAAGTGGGCCAAGTCACCTCCTTGCCAGTCAAACACTTTGAACGCTCCTCTGTGAGTACCCCTAACAGGAGGAAAAACCTTCCTTGCCCTCGTCCCGCCTGGCAGCAGCTCACCCCACTTAGCTTCTGGACTGCCACTTAGTTGTTTATTCTATTTAATTGTTTTTAGACAGAGTCTTGCTCTGTCACCAGGGTGGAGTGCAGTGGTGCAATCTTGGCTCACTGCAACCTCCGCCTCCCAGGTTCAAGTGATTCTTCTGCCTCAGCCTCCCGAGTAGCTGGGACTACAGGCGCCCGCCACCACACCCAGCTAATTTTTGTATTTTTAGTAGAGACGGGGTTTTACCATGTTAGCCAGGATGGTCCTGAACTCCTGGGCTCAAGCCATCCGCCCTCCTTGGCTCCCAAAGTGCTGGGATTACAGGCGTGAGCCAGCGCGCCTGGCCGCATTTGCAATTTCTCTTAGAAGACCTATCCAGTACTTCTTGGCATTTGATTTTTAGCCAACAAAACTGACCCAGTTTCATGCCAGAGATGGGGCTTCTTGTCCATACTTCCTCTGAGGAAGGCCGTGGAGCACCCTGGCTGGAAGGCAGGGACAGTGGATCTCCCATCATAGGCTGCCAGCCGGTCGGATTCCTGTGTGTGCATCCCCATTGCTCTGCCTCAGCATCACTCTCTACTTTTCTCCTGGGGAAAGAAGGAGGAGCAATTGGTTGGAAGGTGTATCAACCCCCAAACTTCTGCCGTTTTCAAAATGTCTCCCATGGGAAGTTAGTATTCTAAAAAAAAAAAAAAAAAAAAGGTGAGGGCTCTGTGGCCAAATAAGTTTAGGAAGAGTGGATGGGACAAAATTTAACATCTTTTTATTATAAAAAATACCTTTTTGAGCCTTTAATATGCAAATGTGTTTTGTAAATCAGTAAGAGGAAACAGTCTGCCATTTCCCAAATACGTTTGCCTCGGAACCTTTCTCCTTGGAGTCGGGGTCGTTGACACTCAGGCTGGGAACCGCTGCCTCGTTGATGTTGCTGGACGGAAGCACAGCTCACTTCCTGCTGGTTGTGTTTCTAACACACATTCCTTTTTTAAAATTGCTTTGTAATAGTAACAATTCACTGGATGTTTACAGCATGCCAGGCACTGACTATGCTAAGCACTTCACTGACATTTTCACATTTCACCCTGTGAGCCACATACTATAACCCACAGCTTTCAGAGGAGAAAATGAGGCTGAGCCAGGAAGCGGTTTGCCCAAGTCTCACAAGAGAATGAGGGGCGGAACTGGCACTGGGGCCCAGGCAATGCCTCCCTCCCACTCCTGCCAGGCCCTGGCTGGCTACCATTGGATCTCCTGATTCTTCTCCAAGATACCTGTTCATTTCCAAAGAAATCCTGCCTGCTGGTGCCAGCAACATTGCTGAACCCCTTACCGACCAACAGACCACCCTGTGAAAACAAGCCGGTCTTGACATCAGTCACAGCAAATACGCTGACACCACAAAGTTACCTGTCCCTTCTGCTTCCTCTCGCCTGTCTGTATCTGTGATGGTGATCTGTCTAAAACGGCAGCCCAGGGGGGCTGGACAGAGGCCGGGCCTGTCTAGCTTATGTTGGTGTGAACCACGCACAGATGGGGGTTTGCGGGTCCTGACGAGGACGCCAGGGTGGGAGCAGCTGGCTCCACACCCTTCAGCTGTGTCATCTGCCCTTCCTCTGCTGTCTCCTCCAGGGTCTGGCTTTGAGGCTTGCCA